GGTGCTTCCGTGAGGCTCAGAGCCCACGCTGCGCCTCTTCCATGCCTTCTGGGAGCTGCCTGCCCTGAGGTTCCATTTAATGGTCTGCCTCTCCTTACCTGCTCCCCTGACCCCCGCAAATTACTTCTTCTTAAAATGAGCTGTTGTGTATTTAAATGAAAGTTGGTTTTCAAAAATATCAAGACACAAACTCTGAGGCTAATTTAAGAATTTCCTGACACCCTGTGGGATAACTGAAGACATGCGGGGCAGATCCCAGGAGAGATTGGGAAAGGTGTGAAAGCCCAGCTGGGAGCCCCCTTTCCGTCTGTTCAGAGCTGATCAGTAGTGTCACTAGCCATAAAGATCGATTGTCCTCAGCTCACTAATGTCAAAATGACTTAGATTGAAAGAGGCAGTCATTAAGGAGAGTGAATTTCTTCGGGTTTAACCAGTATTGGTCAGAACCCCTAATGACCTGCTCTCTGCTTGCCGTGTCCCTGCTTCATTGGCATGATTTGGAAGCATTTGACTCATATTTTAGTCACCGTTTGGTTGTTCCACCATCTGAGCCATTAGTCTGAAAAAAGAATCAGTGCAGCTCCAAGTGACAGCCATTTATTCCATGTTCACAGACTTTTCCCAGAGCTTCCTTGCAGGCTGGCTGCTGGAGAAATCATGCCCACACACCTGCCTCTTCCTGTTTCCTGACTGTGGGCCTGTCCACCTGCACACACTTCTCTCAGCAGCCGAGGGAGGTTTCATGCTGGTAGCTGTGGAGTCATCTTGTCTCCACATCGCCAGTGTATCTGTCCCTGCTCCTTCTACAGTCTGTGGCTTCAGGAAGCTCTCTTGTCCCTTGGAGCTATGGCGAAGACCACAAAAGATTTGTTACTTAGCAGGCGAAGAGAAATAAAGGTGTCCTCGCGTAACTACTTGTATTCAACAACAACAAAAAAACTCAGAAAAATGTACGCTGTTCCTTCACTTATCTTCCTTCTCAGATTAAGTGAATCAAAGAGCAGTGATTTTTCAAAATATTTATTGTTTATAGAAGTCACGTGAAGGGAAGACCCAGATGAAGCAAACAAATGCTGGCCTGCCTGATTATTCTCTTCCTCTGGCATCTTTGTCACAGCCTATGCTCGACTGAAGCTCTGGGCTGCAAGTGTGCTGGCCTCTGGAACTTGCTATTGTTGAGGAATCCCATACGAAGTGATAGTTATTATTTTTATTTTTTGCTGTATTTAGAAACCGTTTCCTAAACTTCAGTGAATCTCCTCATTATTTTTTAAAAATGGATTTTGTTAAAATCATTAAAACAATACCACGTGGCCACTGAAAAAAGTCAAAGCAGCAAGCAGTTTATTAGATATTATTATCCTATTTTTCTCTAACCTGTCTTATTCCCCTTCTCCAAGGAAAGCACTGTAAGCAGTTTGGTGCTAGTCTTGCAGACCCTTCAAACACATACACATGTATGCATACACAGAGGGTTTTTTGTTTGTTTTAAGATTTATTTATATATTTGAGAGAGAGAGTGCGTGCACTGGGTGGGGCAAGGCAGAGGGAGAGGGAGAGAGAATCCCAAGCAGTCTCTGTGCTGAGCATGGAGCCTGACATGGGGCTCAGTCTCATGACCCTGAGATCATGACCCGAGCCGAAAACAAGAGTTGGATGCTTAATCAATCGCACCACTCAGGCACCTCTAGAGTTTTGTTTTGTTTTAAAGACATACATAGGTTTTAAAAATAACTGATCATAGTATGCATACTATTGTGTAATGTACAGCTTTTTTTTTTTTTTAAAGATTTTATTTATTTATTTGAGAGAGAGAGAATGAGAGAGATCACATGAGAAGGGGGAGGGTCAGAGGGAGAAGCAGACTCCCTGCCGAGCAGGGAGCCCGATGCGGGACTCGATCCAGGGACTCCAGGATCGTGACCTGAGCCGAAGGCAGTCGCTTAACCAACTGAGCCACCCAGGCACCCTGTAATGTACAGCTTTTAATCAATAATATGTTATGAACACCATTCCATATTAGTAAATATAGATGTCTCATTTTTTAACAGCTGCTTATTACTGTTCCGTAATGAGGATGTGTATCATATGCAACCACTTCCTTGTTAGTGGGCTTATTCATTTATTCACCTTGACGTAATAAACATAGCTGTGCCTCTGGGTGCCAAGCTCAGCACAGCACAGGGAATATATGATGGTGAGCAGAAGCTTATAAATCTAGTAGGGGAGACGGACATTAATTAAAATCACAAAATCATGTCAGATTAGTGCCCTGCAAGATGTAATGGGGGAACGTAACTCAGGGAGGTCAAGAGAGGTTTCCCTGAGGAAAGACCCTTCAAACTCTGTCTGAAGATGGAGGCTTCTGGAACATTTAATTCTAGGAATTTAAGGACGGAGGGAAGAAAGGGAGGAATGTTCTAGGGCCCTGTGGCAAATGAAAGCATGTGAGGGAGACAGGCTAAAAGAAGGTCAGTGGGGCTGGAGTGGGAGCAATGGAAACAGGTGTCATGAGATGAGGCTGCAGGCAGGCTGATGAGGCTGATGATGGGGAAAGAAATGGACGGGATAGAGAGCTCTGCAGGAGGCAAAAGTGGAAGGACTTGGTGTTAGATTGGATACGAGCAGGGTTGGTGGAGGGGAGAGGGAGGGAAATGTCAAGATGATTCCTAGCTTCCTGGAGAGGTATTTGAGAGGAGGAACATCAGAAGAGAATTGGGTCTTGGCAGTGGCAGGGGATATGATGGGGTCAGAAGATGAGTTTTTGAACATATTGCGACATCCAGATGTCAACTGTGTAGTTTTATGTACTTGTCCGGTGCTCGGAAGACAGGTGTGGCCTAGAGATACAAATTTGGGTGTCATGTGCATGGAGGGTACTATCGGTACCTGTGATAAGATTGTAGAGACAGCATGGAGAGAGAGGGGACGAGGGTCTAGACCAACCGTAAACGTCCTTCCTCTCAATAGGGCTATAGAGTATTTTGTGACTGCACTGAGGACCACCGAAAGGGACTTGGAGAGGGCTAGTTTGGTGCTTTAACAGAAATCACATGAGGTTATCAGGAAGGCTGTCTTGTATTGCACAGTGGATAAAGCACCATTCTCTCAATGGACGACCAGCAACTCAAGCTCTACTTCCAGCTGTTTGACCTTGGGCTAGACTCATCTTTTCAATTTTCTCATGTAAAAAATGAAGATCATAATACGTTTTTTCTACCTTGCATGGTTCATGTGATGGTCAACTGAGATCATGTATGTGAAAGCGCTTTGTAAATTGTCGTTTTCATGATAGATTATGAGGTTGTCTAGTACCAGCCTGTTGAAATTCAATTCAGAGTTGAAGCAAAATGTATCTTTTTTCAGCATATGTTGGGCTGACATGGAGCAAAGGAATGGTTTGATTTTTAAAAGTGTCTCTCAAATATTTCTACACTTTATTTTAGCTGAAGTCATTGTGCTCTTTTATACAGAGTAATGGACAAAGTGATGGGCGCCAATGATCTGATGTACCTCAAAGACATACAGAACCTAACAAGGTCTAGGGAAGGATGCCTAAATTGATCCAGAGGGTAGAGACGGTTCTTTTGTGAGGGATGATAAAAGAATTACGGCTCTTCATTCTGGAAAGACAGCCTGAGAGGAGAATATGATTGAAATTTATAAAATAATGAAAATCATAGAATAAAAATATGAACTTATTAAATCCCAGAGCTAGGGACAGCTTTATCATTTTAAAGAAATAGTTTTAGGGCAAAGTAAAAATAGCAGGTTTTTACATAGGAATAGCACACATATGGAACTTACTACTCTCAAAGATTGCTAGGACCAAAATCAAATATTATAAGAGAAAGATGTGTATTTCTGGAGGCTAGTTTCATAGGAGATTATAAAATGAAATTAAAACAATTTGGGGGGGCGCCGGGGTAGCTCAATTGGTTAAGCGTCTGCCTTCAGCTCAGGTCATGATCCCAGGGTCCTGGGATCGAGCCCCGCCTAGGTCTCCCTGCTCAGCGGGGAGTCTGCTTCTCCCTCTCCCTCTGCCCCTCTCCCAGCCCCCTCTCGTGCGCTCTCTCTCTTGCTCTCTCAAATAAATAAATAAATTAAAAAAAAAAAAAACCAATTTGGGTAAATCTCCCTGATCTTGGAGGATGGCACCATAGAGAGTGGTCACGAAGCTCCCCTCTTCCCAACTGGTGTCCTTGTCCAGTTCAAGATTCCTGAGTGGATATGCTGGAGAGGGCAGAGCACAGAATTAGAGCTCAGTGGGCCTGGCTGCAAGTATTACCTCTCCGACCCTAGGGAGTCACTTCTTTTTTTTTTTTTTTTTTGTACCTCAGTTTCCTAATCTTCAAAAAGAAAAAAAAAATGTAATAACATTAAAACCTGCCTAATTATTGTGAGAAATTCAACTGAAGGGATGTCTGTGGAAGTGTTTTGTAATTGATAAACATATCCGTATAAGCGTGAGAATTTCCACTTTTATTGTTGCATTTCTAATTCTATTTCCTTCAGGTGGGTTGACCTTCACCCTGTCCTTTCTGATCCTGGCCTCATTAGGGAGCAGTGTTTCCCAACTCAGAAATGAAGGAGAGCACTGAAGGCAGGGACAATCCCCTGTCCTCAAGGGAGGTGGAGAGAATGCAGATCTTTCTTCTTTCACCCCCTTTTCCTCCCTGTGAAGGTGGAGAAATAAAGGTAAGGAGAACTTTAAGCATCTCTCTTTCCACTTTGGCTGTTTTGGGTGGTAAGATGCCACCTAAAGACTAGGGTGTTCCTGGCTGGCTCAGTCAGTAGAGCATGCGACTCTTGATCTTGGGGTTATAAGTTTGAGCCCCACATTGGGCGTAGAGATTGCTTAAAAAAATGAAAAAAAAGGTTTTTTTAAAGATTTTACCTATTTATTTGACAGAAAGAGAGATGGAGAGAGAGAGACAGAGCACAAGCAGGGGGAGCAGCAGAGGGAGAAGGAGAAGCAGGCTCTCTGTTGAGCAGGGAGCCCAATGTGGAGTTCGATCCCAGGACCTTGATATCATGACCTGAGCCGAAGGCAGACACTTAACCAACTGAGCTACAGATCTTGCAGATCTTAGGAAAACTAAAAAAGGTGAGTACAGGGCTGGATGAGAAAACCATGGGGATTGGTTTCTTAATGGCATCTGTAGGTTTAGAATTTAAGGGAGAGAGAAAAATAATGACTGAAATTTCCTTTCAAGACGGCCACTGCAGTTCACTATGCCGGAAAGCCGATGGAGATCTGGAGGGAGAGACTGTGTCTTGTCTGGAGGGTCCTCTGAATCTCCTGTGTACCCTAAGGAATCCGACTTTGGCAGAGGAGATCCAGGAACAGCAGGAAGAGAGAGCTGATAACAAATAACTTCTTATTTCCACCATAGCAAATATGAACTGCTTTGCCTGGCTTCCAAGCACTCCACCCACCGTACCACCTCCCCTGACCTCATTTCCTATGGGGTAGAATGGAAGGAGAATGGCCCAGAAGCCAAGACAGCCCTCGATTTGAATTTTGGCCTCAGCACTCATTAGCTGTGTGAGTTTAGCTTCGAGTCCATAAAACGGTGGTAATAGTAACCCCCTTATCCTTGAGTTGCAGTGAGGTCCGATGAGGTTATATTTGTGAAGCACTTAGCGTAGTGCCTGGCACATCATAGGCCCTAAATAAATGTCGGCCTTTGTCATGACTCATCAGTACTCTCTATTCTAAGGAGATGGACTGCTAGATAATGAGCTCCGTGAGTGCGGGGACCAAGATGTGCTTTGCTCACTATGTGTCTGTGGTGTAAGTACACAGAGCCTAAAGAAATGAATTTCTCTGCACCAAGCCCCTCTCATTCCTTTTCCGTGCAAGTTATATCCATTCAGGGCCCCGCTGAAGGCTCATTTCCTCTGGGAAATCAGCTCATATTGATCTTGCTCACTTAGGAACTCCCGTGGCACACAATTCAGCCCCTAGAGAGACATGGATTTGCATAGTTGTCTTTTTGCATTGTATATGTTAGTCTTAGCCTTCAATGATGTTCAGCATCTAGTGAACATTTGCTATGATCAGGGCCTTGGTTTACAGATGCAACCAGGGAGAAGTTCCTTCGTCTCAGGATCTTTATCTGAAGACACTTACCCCTGCATGGGACCCAGCGTAGCAAAGTGCCCATCTTGCTGTTCTTATGTGCTGCTTTGGACACGTGACACAGTGGGATGCTTTGCAGGAACTTCTCCCTTTGAGGTCCTGGGAGACATATGTTCTGGCACTTACTGCGTCTTCATTCCTGGTATCTTTCCTGATGGGAAAGCTGTGCAGGGGGTTTGTATTATGGCTCATTTGTCTCAAAAGACATAAAGCAATACTCAGAATACTTTTTTCTCATAAGAGCATCATTCCCATATCAAATGGTGTCATTCTCACTTTACCCAGGGCAATTGCTTAAAAGATTCCTCTTCCTTTCCTTTTGTTCTGAAATATGCAAAACACCAGCGTAGAAGCTGGATGAGGCCCACCTGACTCTCTTTCTCCATTACTTTTCTGAGGAAAGAATCAAGGGCAATGTCTTTTTTGAAGGCAGGTCTGGGGAAGTGATACCAGCACCTGCATGTCTCCTGCCATTGGTTTCTGCTCCTGTCTCAGGCTTACTTTCTGATGTGGTTTCCAGGCCACCTTTCTCGGTTCTGATGGAGCCAGGAACCACTGTGACCCATCAGGGACCCCTCCCTGCAGCTTGCAAGTCAGGGTCAATCACCTAGCTGTTCCCATTGAACAGTTCCCTTTTGACTTCAGCTTGTAAAATTTCTGAGATATATATATATTTTCATTTTTATCCTCTCCTTTTCTTTAAAGGTTATTTTAAAGTTAAAAATAACCATAAGGAGACCTTGTGATCCTCTTCTCACTGACCCAGATATTTTAAGAGTTTAAAACAGCAGCTCCACATCTGGGGATATAGGCTGGCTCTCGGGAGCCAATTAGCCAAATGTAATAATAAAATATTAATCCTATTTCCCACACATAAAACACTCCTTGTTTTTCCCTTGCTGATCCAAACCCTACTCACCCTTCAATGCATTGTACAAAAAGCCATGGACTTGAGGATAAAATACTTGGGCTTGGTCCCTAACTTAGAAACCTGCAAGCTGTCTGACCTTGTGCAAGTCACTTTATGTGTGTGCACATTGGTTTCTTCTCCTGGAAAACCGAGATGCTAACTGTCTCACAGAGTTAAGGTTGAAGGCTTTGGGTCCAGCCTAGTGCCTGGGGTCCCCAAAACAGATTCTAAGGAAATACTTATCAAACTCCAGGAAGCCCAATTTGAGTAATCCTGGGATCATTAATCTCTCCTATTTAGGGATTTCTGTATTACTGAGTCTGTCTACACCATAAATTTAACAGTTGACTAGACCTTGTCTTTCATCTGTGGCCCTAGTGTTTTCACATCCTCAACTGCTGGATAGGTTCCTTTGCAGGATGGTGCCATGTGTTTTATTTTTCTCGTGTCAATGTTGCAATAATAGGCACTTAATCCTTGATAATTGATTGATAGAGTACATCACCCATCTTACTAAATTTGGGTTCTGTAGCACAAGAGAGGTTATTTTCATTGTCTTTATCTCTCTAATTTCACCGCCTGATGCTAGTGGTGAGATCGTAGGAAATCTTTTAGGCTTTCATTATCTTGTCAATTTTGGCTTCTCATCACATATGTGCTATCATTTGTTCAGGATACTGCTGACCTGCGATGAACACAAAGTTTGTTTGAATTGCTTATCCACTATAAGGATGGGTTTTCTGCTGAATCGGCTTTGTTTTCTCACTCAGGCAGGGTTGAGGTCTTGGTGAGACCTCCAGCTTTCACTGCCCTGGAACTGAGGTCTCTAAAGCAGGCCTATAGTTGCCCTCTTCTGTGGTGACAGGCTCTCAGGGGAATTAGAGATTTATTTATTTATTTATTTATTTATGAGAGAGAGAGAGCATGAGCAAGTGGGGGTAGGGGCAGAGGGAGAGAGAATCCTGAAGCAGACTCCCTGCTGAGCACGGAGACTGCCTTGGGCTCCATCCCAGGACCCTGAGATCACGACCTGAGCCAAAATCAAGAATCGGCTGCTTAACCGACTGAGCCACCCAGGTGCCCTCTCAGTGGATTTAAGAGCAGCCCCAAGAGCCTGTATTCTTTGGGTAAGAACAGTGCCCCGGCTGTCATATCCCCTCCATGAATTGCCCCATGAATGGTTGTGGGTTCAGTTGTGTTCCCCCCAAAAAAAGGTATGTTGAAATCCTAGCCCTCAGTACCCATGACTGTGACCTTATTTGGAGATAGGGTCTTTGTAACTGTAATCAAGAGGAGGTCACACTGGATTAGGATGGCCCTAACTCCATGATGGTTACCCTTATAGGTAGAGAGAGATTTGGACACAGAGGAGGATGGCCATGTGAAGACAGGCACAGAAAATGGAGTGATGCAGCCATGAGCCAAAGGATGCCAGGGATTGATGGGAGCCACCAGAACCTGTGAAAAGGGAGGGAAGTATTCTCCCCTAGAGTCTTCAGAGGGAGCATGGCCCTGCTGACACCTTGATTTTAGACTTTAGCCTTCAGACTTATGAGAAAATAAATTCCTATTATTTTAAGCCACCAAGTTTGTGATAATTTGTTACAGCAGCCTTAGAAAACTAATATACCACCCAAGAGTCTAAATATAATACAAAAGGGAGGTTTTAATTGAAGTCAATTACCCATCTTCCCCTAAAAGGCCTTGCTACTAATCCCATCATGCCTTGTGATTACCCTTGTGATTCCCTCAACCCAGCGCTCCTGGGTCTCCTTCCCCATGCAGCTCGGTACATATCCTTATTTGACTTTATCTCCCACCCTCTGCCCCCCACCCCCTCCCACTATGTCCTCAGCCTCTTCTCTGAATGTCCCTCTCACTGTTCTGCTCTGACTGATACCCAACTCACTCCTGAGGACATGGAGCTACCCCTCAAGAGTCCTAGGGCCCGATGGTGCGGCTTGTGTCTGCTTTGCTCGTCATGGCCGCTCCCGGACCATTGCTCCTCCCTGCCCCTTCCCCACTGCTCTGAAGGACAGGCCATCCAGTCTCCATAAACCTCCCATGCTGGGCCAGCCACCAACCCGAGGTCACTCCTCCAGTGCAGCCCAGAGCCCTGCTGGCTCACGTCCATGCTCTTCACCACTCCTCTCCTCAGGCCTGCTGGTTGGCCTGCTTAGACCAGTCAACTCCAACCCTGGCTGCACTTCAGAATTGTTTGGGAAACTTTTAAAAAACCTCGGGCACTGCCACCCCCACCTCTGAACCAATTGAGCCGGAATTAGAGGATTGGAGGCCCGTGTATATTTTAGGAGCTCCCCAGGTCATTCTAGTATGTGGCCAGGTTTGAGACCCCTGGTATGGGTGATCAACAATGCCTTCTCAGCCAACTAGTCTTACAGTAACACTCTGTTGCTCGTTAGTAGGACTTGTACTAGTACTAGTACTTGCGGATTTCTGGCACCCCTCTCTGGCTACTACCTTCTCACTTCCAGCTTGTTCCCTCTGGAACCCCACTCCAGCCATTGTTGGGTCTCACTGTCTCCACCAGGCCATCATCCCTAGACCTTGTCACCGTCCATCACGGCCCTCAGGCCTTGCCCTCAGACACTCACCTGAGTCCATGGAGCAGGCTCAACGCCCTTGCCTCTCTCCCCTCTACTGCCTTGACCTGCCAAACCCCCAGATCTGGTAACACTCTACTCACCTGCTCAGGTCTGCATCCAAGCACCAAATCTCCAAATGTGGCTAGATTAAAAATACGAAGCAGGCTTGCAGGTCTTAATTTTATGAACTCAGAGCTCGAGTGGATTCTCAGCGGTGCCTGGCAACACTGTCTTATTTCCCCAGTTAATTCACTTCCCTATTATTCAAGAGGCTCTCTTACACCTTTTCTCTCCAAACAAGCTCCCACCAGAATCCAAACTTCTCACTCCTCCGCTAGGCCAACCTTGTTCCTGTCTCAAGACATTTGCACTTAGAGTTCACTCTACCTTCCACATTTTTCCCCGGATCTTGCCATAGAACACCCCTCATTGGTTTTATCTCACCTTCTCAGGGAAGTATTCCCTGATTCTTCTACCTAAAATAAGCCTCCCACCTCGATCCTGACACTCCATCTTCTGACTTGTTCTTATTTTCTTTATAGCACTTACCATCATCTGATAGGACATGATGGGTTTATTTTTGTTTGCTTATCTGTTTCCCTAAGAAGCATACAAGCTTTATGAAGGCAGTTCCCTTCTTTTTTTTTTTTTTTAAGATTTTATTTTTAAGTAATCTTTATCATGGGGCTCGAACTCATGACCCTGAGATCAAGGGTCACATGTACATGTACAGTGCTGTAAATGCATTTTCCTTATGATTTTTTTCCCTTATGATTCTTTTTATTTTTATGGTTTTATTTATTTATTTGACAGAGAATGATACAGTGAGAGAAGGAACACAAGCAGGGGGAGTGGGAGAGGGAGAAGCAGGCTTCCTGTGGAGCAGGGAGCCCGATGCAGGGCTCGATCCCAGGACCCCGGGATCATGACCTGAGCCGAAGGCAGACGCTTAACTGACTGAGCCACCCAGGTGCCCCTTTCCCTTATGATTCTTAATAACATCTTCTTTTTCTAGCTGACTTTATTGTAAGAATACAT